TAAATTACTAATTTATACTTAACATGTTTTAGGTCGTTCAGAAATATCGAAAAGTTTTTCCAGATCACAAAAAAAAATCGATGACAGCAACATTCTAATTTAAATGTCAATTATGTAAAGAAAAACTAGTACTTTCATTGACACCTTAGTATGCTTATTTATAAAATGTTATTATTTAATTAATTAAGCTTATTTAATTAAGCTGAATAAATGAATAAATAAAAAACACTAAACAATACCAAAACGCATGAACCGCGGAACAAACGAGTAAAAAAAACAAGTTGTAAATAAAAGTGGCGAATGATTAGATAATAAATTGATCGTATTACTAAAGTAGCCAAACTTATCAAAATTTTCCAGTTATTGTGATCATTATCAAATAATGTAAAAGGTCTAAAGTGCAACAATGAACACAATAATCTTGCTTAGTGACAAAAAATTGGAAAATTTCAGCAATAAATAAACTAGATATTCACAACATGTTTAAATGTCAATTATGTAAAGAAATACTAGTACTTTCATTGACACCTTAGTGTGCTAATTTATAAAATGCATTTTTTTTAACTTATATTATAGAGTATATTTTATAATATTTTTATGATTTATTTTGTATATATTATAATCAGTTGTCCCTGTAAACGTAAATACTTTTATAATTGTTTGATGTACCGAACTATTCAAATATTTTTTTGTTTTTGTCCTGGCGAGGAAAAAAATCAACCTACGAGAATTTGTAAAGATACAATTTATATAGAAAATATTAAGGTCTATAATTTTTATTCTATACAATTTTTCGTTTTGAGCTTTTGTTGTTGAGATATTAGCCGAAAACTAAAAAACCACCCTATTCAGTGGATTTTCAACCCTCATTCGGCACCCGAAGGGGGTAAGTAAATCTTACGAAACTCAACAAAAATCATTATTATCTAAAAATAAACAAAATTAGGGGGTGCCGCTATGTTTTGTTCAATTTTTTTTTTTAGCCTTAGTAGATAAAGTCCAGCCTAGTATATATATATTCTAATTACTATTAAAATTAATATATTAACACGATTTATTCTAAGAGATATAAAATATTCATTCCGATTACGAGAGATGATTTCCGTATCGTCATTTTTCGTCACTACCTCCACGTTCCAGGAGTGAGTAATTTTCGCGCCTGCTGCTTTCCTTGGATGTGGTAGCCGTTTCTCAGACTCCCTCCCCGGAATCGAACCCTGATTTCCCGTTACCCGTAACAACCATGATATTGATAGTAACTACTATCATAACATGAAACTAAAAAGTAAAAAATAAATATAGTTTAAAAAACTAAAAAAACACGCTTTTAAAGCACATTGAACTAAAAAGTTAAAAATAATTTTTAAAATAAGTTTAAAATAATTATGAAAAAAAATACTAGTATTATTGTGATGAAAGCGTGGGTGCATTGTGTCATATTTTTCGTATATTGAGCGCCCGACGCTTTTATCACAATAATACTAGTATTTTTTTTCATAATTATTTTAAACTTATTTTAAAAATTATTTTTAACTTTTTAGTTCAATGTGCTTTAAAAGCGTGTTTTTTTAGTTTTATAAACTATATTTATTTGCATTAATGTTGTTATCTATTTCTTGTGCCACTTCTAATGGCGAAAAATATTATATTATCTCCCGGTTTCCATCTTACTGTAAACTGTGGAGACCATTAAGTTCTGAAACTATATTATTAGGTTGAAAAACAGTTTCTAAATAACATGCATATGTTTCAGCTTTTTCATGCTCACTACGTACCCAATTTCCGTCTTCCTTACGAATAGGTGGTACATGTGTTAAAGGTCTGTTTAATCTTTTAGTAGCTTTCCAAAGAGAGTAATCAGTATCTTCGGTTTTGTGCAATCATATGACCTGTGCTTTTCTCCGCATTTAACACAATTAGGAGATTTGTGGCAATAATTTAATTGTTTGTCCAAATAATTGGCAATTCTTACACTGTGGAATTCCTTTTGTTTTTTTTTTTTTGAGGCTCTACTTTAATTACCTGATTACTGAGACTTTTTAGTCTTTTTAGCTGGTATA